CACTCCACCTTCTCTCCCTGAAAATCATATGCTATTGTTGTCATGTATTTTTTATTAGTTTTAAATGTACAAAGCAACATAATAGACATTTAAGCCCCACATAAAGTGATAACCCACCTCTCAAGCTACTATCCCTCTGACATCTTATGTAGCTGTTACAATACCATAGACTATCTTCCCTATGTTGTACTCCACATCCCATGACTATATATACCTTTATATTTAGTTATAGCTGACATTCAATATTATTCTACTTCAGCTTCGGGCGTATAGTGCAGTGGTCAGGCATCTGCACAGTCTATGACATGATCCCCCTGATAAGTCCAGTGCCCACCCAGCACCCTACATGATCTTTACAACAATGTTGACCACATTCCCATTCCCCACACTGTATTAACTACCAGTTTGTACTTCCCAATGCCTCCACCCTTCTCACCCTGTCCCCAACCCCACTCCCATCTATTACCCTGATAGACCTAATACCTATCTGGCACCATACCTAGTTATTACAATATTATTGAGTATATTCCTTATGCTATACTCCACATCCCCAAGACTACTGTATAACAACCAATTTGTACTTCTTAATCCCTTCCCCTTTCACCCATCCTTAACCTCCCTCCCATCTTAAAGAAGTCCCTCTAAGATTCCTTGTAATACTGGTTTGATGGTGATAAACTCCTTCAGCTTTTTCTTGTCTGGGAAGCTCCTTATCTGTCCTTCAATTCCAAAATAACAGACTTGCTGGGTAGAGCAATCTTGGTTGTATGTCGTTGCTTTTCATCACTTGGAATATTTCCTACCACTCCCTTCTTGCCTGCAAAGTCTCTGTTGAGGAATCAGCTAACAGTCTTATGGGAGCTCCCTTGTAGGTAACTAACTGCTTTTCTCTCGCTGCTTTTAAGATTCTTTGTCTCTATTTAACCTTTGGCATTTTAATTATGATGTGTCTTGGTGTTGCCCTCTTTGGGTTTATCTTGTGCCTCTTTGGGACTCTATGTGCCTCTTGGGCTTGAATGTCTATTTCCTTCACCAGGCTAGGGAAGTTTTCTGTCATTATTTTTTCTTCAAATAGGTTTTCAATTCCTTGCTCTCTCTCTTCTCCTTCTGGTACCCCTATAATGCAAATGTTGGTATGCTTAATATTATCCTGGAGGATTATCCTGGAGGCCCCTTAAACTCTCCTCAATTTTTTGGATTCTTTTTTCTTTTTGCTGTTCTCTTGGGTGTTTTCTGCTACTTATCTTCTACGTCACTGGTTGGGTCCTCTGCTTCATCTAATCTATGTTGGTTCCCTGTAATATATTCTTCATTTCCGTTATTGTTTCCTTTATTTCTGACTGGTTCTTTTTTATGGTTTCCATCTCCATTTGTATGCTTCCTATCTCTGTTGAAGTTCTCCCTGAGATCATCGAGCATTCTTATAACCAGTGTTTGGAATTCTGCGTCTGATAGATTGCTTATCTCCATTTTGCTTAGTTTTTTTTTTTTCTGCAGCTTTGTTTTATTCTTTTATTTGGGACATGTTTCTTTGTCTCCCCATTTTGGCTGCCTCCCTGTGTTTGTTTCTATGTATTAGGTAGGGCTGCTATGTCTTCCAGTCTTAGTAGAATGGCCTTAGGTGTGCTGTGGGGTTCAGTGGCACAGTCTTTCTGGTTACCTGAGCCATGCACTCCAGATGTGTCCCTTGTGTGGGTTGTGTGTACCCTCCTCTTGTAGTTGAACGTTGGTTGATAACTGCACATCAATGTGAGGGACTGACCCTTGGGCTCACTGGTTGTGAGGACTGGCCTTGACTACACTGGAAGAGCTATTGTGCAGGGGCTGATCCTACAGAGCAGAATCTGCCTCAGCAGGACTCTGGTGTCTGCCCAATCCGCCCCTTGGGTGTGTCGTACTTGGAGGCAGCTAGGTAATGCTCCAGCTTGTTTTGAAGCTGGCCACTGGGGGCGCCCGCCCCAGGACCACCTTGGAGGGGATCCACTGTAGGTCAATTCAGCCACAGCCCGTGCCCCACCAGGGACCACCCAGTGGGAGCCAGAAAGAAATCCACAGATAGCTGCCACCCGTGCTGTGCTTGGAAGCGCCTTGAGAGGCCAAGCCACCAACCAAGGCTCACTGCCACTAGTGCTGGCTTAGAGGCAGTTGCTGCTTGTCTGGGTTCCACAAATCTTTGAGAATCTAGTAAAGTCTGCAGCTTGAGCAAAGGCAGATGGTCTGCATGAAAAAGCCACTGAAAGCGGCCTGAGTGTGGCCGAAAGTTGGGCGGGGCCAGACCTCAAATCGCCAGGACGTGGCCCACGTACTACGCAGAGACTCAGATATGGCGCCTGCCTGCGTCTGCACGCTGCGAAGGGGGAGGGCTTAGCAAAGAAACAATGGCCTCCACCAGCTCCCCTGTTCAGGAGAAAGCCACTTCTCCATTTCCCATCCCAAGCCAGATAACTCAATTCCCCACCATTTGTCCCAGCCACCTTTTCAGCTGCTGCCCTAGTTCTGGAGCTCAGAGCAAGTGATTCCACTGGTGGGTAAGTCTGTGCGCAGTCCCTTTCAGAGGAGCACCTGTGAATGCAGCTGCCCTCAGCCTCAGTCACAATCTGTGCTGGTTTTCACAACCAAAAATTATGGCGGCTTCTCTCCCTGGCACCGGAACCCTGGGCTGGAGTGGGGCTGGGATCTCTCAGCCTTCTAGGGGAGCGGGAGGGACCCCCACAGCCAAAATAGCCCTCCCGATCTTTAATGGTCACACGCGGGTGTGAAACGCGGGTGTCGTTCCGCGTCTCTGACTTTCCTACCAGTCTGGAGGTGGCTTCTTCTGCACATCCTTAGTTAAAAGGCTTCAGTTCAGCTTGATTTTAGGCAATTTTCAACTGCCTAAAACAACCTAATAGTTGTTTTGTCAATTATTTGTAATTTTGATGTGGTTGTGAGAGAAGGTAAACAGCGTTTACCTTCTGCGTGCGCCATCTTGGTTGTCTCTCTGTTGTCATGTATTTTAATTGTATGTATTTAGAAACTCCATAAAACATTACTAGAATTGTTTTCGACAATTAATATTAACTTATATTTGCACTCATATTTACCCTTTCAATTGCTCTTCATTCCTTCATTTCTGAACTTCCATCTGTGATTATCTTTCTGCCTAATGAACATTCCATTCTTCCAAGCCCTCCAAACATATCCAACTATTTTTATCGTTGTTCATGTATTTTCATACATGTATATATATCTCATATGTATAGATATCGACCTGTATATATATTCACAAGGTATTATTATTATTATTATTATTCATACAGCCAATGTTCACTTAAATCTACTCATACATTTGCCTTTTTGTTTTTGATTGTCATTCTTCCTGCATTTCTAGGCTCCCATGGGGGTCATTTTCCTCCTACTTGATAGATGCTTTGTAATACGTATTTCCTTAATTGTGTGTCTGCTGATGACAAATTCTTTCAAGTTTTTGTTTCTAAAAATGACTATTTCATCTCCATTTTTGCCGTTATCTAGATTAGCAGAGCTTTTTTTGTTTGTCAGGCTCTCTAATTGTATCTGGTCTAATCTCCAATTATCAAGAGAACTATACTTTTGGTTCTTACAGAAGAAAATCTTAGGCATCACAAATATTTCATTATATTTGGGTGAACAGATACTCATTTTATAATATTAGGAGTTAGACTATGTAATTATGAAACCCCCACTCAGGAAAAAACATACTCCTTGCCACCCCTCACGGTTTATACAGATCAGAACAAATAAAATGAATTTCAATATATGGAAGTTTAAAAGAAGCAAGAAGTCACAAAATGCATTCAGGGAAACAGGTTGAATTGGTGAGGGGCAGTTCCCAAAGCAAAACCCTGGATGTTTGCTGCAATTCTCCAAGCTTTAAGAATGGTTCTTTTTCTCTCCCTCTTACCTTTTTAAACACATTCATTCATTCTCTCTTTCAACAAGTATTTTTTAAGCTCTGCTTAGTGACTGATATCGAAATCCTTATAAATCAGACATAGATTCAGCCCGCAAAGAGCTCCCATTAGAGAAGATGACAGGTACATAAATACCAGTAACAGATTGAGACATCATAAGAGATGTGTAGACAAAAATCCTTCCAGTTATAAGGAGTGAAAGATGACTTTGGGAGAGTAAGGAGGTTAGAGAGGGAAAAAAATCAGGAAAAATGCCTCCAGGAGGCAGCATTTGAGCCATCCTTTTAAGAAGAGAAGGAATTTGGTCATGCTGAGATGGTGACAAGTGACAAGTGACAAACTTTTCAGGGAAGCGTTGCCTAGGAAGGAATCCACAATTACTACAGTTAGTCTGAATTAATGTGCAAAAGAGCTGCAAAAAATAAGAGTAATACCAAACTGAAGATGGCCTTGAATGCCAAGCTAAGGAATTCTGTTTGAGAAAAGTGCTCAGCTAAAGCATGTTGGCATGTTTCTTCTAGAGAGGTGAAGATAAAGGATATCTCTCTATCTAATCTATCATCTGCCATCTGTTGGGTACCAGCTCTGTGCCAGGCCCTTTGCCAAGTGCTTTATACACAGTCCCTCATGAAATCCTCTTATCAGCCTACGAGATAGGTATCAGGGTCCTTACATAGCGAAGGTGCCCTCACTCCTTGCATTTCTTAGCTCAATGCACACTGGCACGCTCTTGCCGTCTCACGACTGTGTTAGGGACGTGACTTGGAGTGTCAGGTTGACTATTAAGGCACATCCCTATGTGCCTCAGTGTCTGAGTAACTGGTAGAAGGTCCCACAGCCAGTAAATACCTGGACCAGGATTGGAACCAAGACAGCCGCCAGGAGAGATCCTTTCCGCTGGGCAGGAGCGCAGCAACTGGTCTGAGGCCAGCGGCTCCCGGCGGCCGGCGTACGCCCCGCCCAGTCGCTCGGGATTGGCCGCGAGCCCTTGCCAGCTGGAGGGGGGCGGAGCCGTGCCAGCTGAGCGGGCGTGGTAATGGGCCTGGTCTTGTCTTATCAGACAGCAGTGAGCGCGGCCGCCTGGGGCTTGGAGGCTGCAGGCCGCGTCCAGGCAGAACTGCCCGCTTGACTCCGGTGCCGCCGTGCCGCCCGCGCGAGCGCTCCTATCCACAATGCTGCGGCGAGGCTGCCAGGCAGTCCGGCGCTTCTCCACCAGCCGGGTGAGTCCCTCAATGGCCAGCGTCCCTGCTCTCCCTCGGGGCTGGTTTCCAGACCCTGGGGCTGGAGGGCCGGGCGGCGGGGCTGGGGATGGGGCAGCGATGTTTACACAGCTAAAGCCAAGTTTTTAAAATTGGGAGACTGCCAAGAAGGGTCCGGGGAGGGTCCTGGATGGGGCTTGTCAAGCGAGCCATTGTCTTCTTCGGGGGAAAAGGTCCAGGGATGTGGCTTTTGAACATCTAAAGTCTGGCTGGGTGGGAACTTGGCAAGGGGGACAGAAAGTAGGCTTCCTTTCCTGTTTCGTTTCAATCGTGAGATCCCTGGGTAACCAGTTGGAGCCAAGGTACAGGACCAAGATCGTCTCCTGGAGGAGAGTAGTATCAAGTCACTCGGGTCCTCCTCAGCGGCCTGAGAGGTTGTGAGCGCTTTCGATTGGCATGCAAGGCTCATTCATAGAGTGGTACTCAGAGCGGGTGGCTGCAAACTCATTATTCCTGAACCGCAGGCGGCAAGATTTCTAGGATTTACCAGGCGCTCAGGCGCAGAAGCAGCCACTCAGGAAGAATTCAAAGACTGTAGGGCAAGAATGAGCCTTGGCCCAACCCTGTGCCTTGAAATTACATCAGCTCCTCCAGAAATGGAACGAGAGTGGACACGTTGCATGTGACGCTGCCTTCAGCACTTCAGGAGCCTCAGGAGAGATGCCTCTGTGTCTAAGCAGACTCCAAGCAGTTTAGGGAAGGGGGAAAAAAAAATCCATCCCATGTACATTATTTCTTTCTGGGAAGTACATGTTTGCTATGTTATAAAAGAGCTTGCTTTTGACTCATCTTCTCTGACAGAGCCATAAAGGCATGTGTAAAAAACGTGGAGGCAGGGAGATGTCTTGAGTAGCACCAGAACTGGCCCAAAGTGACATACATGGAAAAACTTTTGTCTCCCAGAAAACCCCAAATTATGAGAATTCACTTTACCCCGTGCAATCAGTTCTGATGATTTTGAGATTATTCACCTTTTTTAAAATGAGGAAAAAGAGACCTGCTCTCCTAAGCAGTACAGCGGACTACTGCTTAGCTTCCTCCCACCACGTGGCACACGGGAATCTGGATTGGATGGCACAGAGAGCAAGAGACTTGTGCCAGCCTCTTTTATTGGCCTCCCCTGTCAGCAGCTTCCATTGAATTGTCTTTTTTTGGAGAGCAGAAGGGAGTCTCGAAGAATGAAAAGATTATAATAGTGTGGTTTACATAAGATTTCAATAGTACAAGGTGGATGTCCCTGGTAGCAAATGGCATAAACAAAAATACGTATGTTGGGAGGCTCCAGGTATGGCGACGGGTCAGGGGCCTGAATCTGATTATACACAGGAATGCACGTGGAAGAGCAGTTACATGTGGCTGGGAAGAAAGCAGGTGCACTCCTGAGGACAGGGACCACCTCTGCTTTGTGCCCTTAGTGTAGGGGTTCCAAAGAAAAATGTCCAAAAAGGGTAAGCAGGTAAGACAAATGAGGGATTGCCCAGAGTAAAGGGGGCACCCAACGCTCAGCTCTAGCTGACTGTTGCTATATGGGAGTGTGGACCAGGATTGACAAACCTCCTGATTTTTAAAGAGAAGTAAGAAATTCAGCCTGCTAATGTGAATCTTCCTAATTATTTTACAAAATCAGGTGATATATATGAAATACCTGGCACATACCAGGGTCTCGTTAAACTGTTTGCTGTTATTTCTACCCCCTCTTTCTGATCCATACTCCTCGTACAGCAGAGATTCTCAGACTTTGTGTGCCTGTGAGTCAATGGAGAGGTTAAAAATGCAGCTTTCTGGGTCTGGTAGATCTGGAGTGGGGTCCAGGAATCCACATTTTTTCCTTTTTAAATTAGTTTCAGGTGTACAAAACAACATAGTAATTGGACATTTATATGCCTCACAAAGCGATAACCCAATAGGTCTGTTACCCATCTGACACTGCACATAGTTGTTACAGTATTATTGGCGACATTACCCATGCTGTACTTTATATCCTCGTGACTATTTTTTAAAAATTATAGTTGACATTCAATATTATTTTATATTAGTTTCAGGTGTACAGCATAGTGGTTAGACATTTATATAATTTATAAAGTGATCCTTGGTAAGTCTAGTAACCATCTAACACTCTACATAGCTTTTACAATATTATTGACTATATTCCCCATACTGTAATTTACATCCCCGTGACTTTTGTAAAGACCAATTTGTACTTCTTAATCCCTTCACCTTTCTCACCCATCTCCTCAACCCACCTCCCGTATAGTAACCATCAGTTTGTTCTCTGTATCTATAAGTCTGTCTGTTTCTGTTTTTTTTTTGTTCATTTTGTTCTTTCGATTCTACGTACAAGTGACATCGCATGGTATTTATGTTTCTCAGTCTGACTTATTTCACTTAGCATAATACCCTGAAGCTCCATCTATGTTGTTGCAAATGGTAAGATTTCATTCTTTTTTATGGCAGAATAATATTCCATTGTATATATGTAACACAATTTCTTTATCCAGTCATCCACTGATGGGCATTGTGGTTGCTTCCATATCTTGGCTATTGTAAATAGCACTGTAGTGAACATAGAGGTGCATAACTCTTTTCAAATTAGTGTTTTGGATTTCGTTGGATAAATACCCAAGAGTAGAATTGCTGGGTCATAAGGTAGTTCTATTTTTAATTTTTTGAGCAAACTCCATACTGATTTCCATAGTGGCTGAATCAATTTACAGTCCCACCAACAGCGTACAAGGGTTCCCTTTTCTCCACATCCTCGCCAACACTTGTTTGTTGATTTATTGATGATGGACATTCTGACAGGAGTGAGGTGATAGCTCATTGTGGTTTTTATTTGCATTTCTCTGATGATTAGTGACATTGAGCATCTGTTCATATGTCTATTGGCCATCTGTATGTCCTCTTTGGAGAAATGTCTATCCTGGCTGTCAGCCCAATTGTTAATTGGATTGTTTGCTTTTTTGGTGTTGAGTTGTATGAGTTTTTTAAAATAAATTTTGGATATTAACCCCTTATTAGATGTATCACTGACAAATATCTTCTCCCATTCAGTAGGATGTCTTTTCGTTTTATTGATGGTTTCCTTTGCTGTACAAAACCTTTTTAATTTGATATAGTCCTATTTTTTTTGTTTGTTTCCCTTACCCCAGGAGATATGTCAGTGAAAATATTACTAAGAGTAATGTCTGAGAGTTTACTGCCTATGTTTTCTTCTAGGAGTTTTATGGTATCGGGTCTTACACTTAAGTCTTTAATCCATTTTGAGTTTATTCTTGTATATGAAGTAAGAAGGGGGTCCAGTTTCATTTTTTGCATGTATCTGTTCAGTTTTCCCAAAACCATTTGTTGCATAGACTGTCTTTACCCCAATGTATATTCTTGCCTCCTTTGTTATAGATTAAATGACCATATAGGCATGCACTCATTTCTGGGCTCTCTATTCTGTTCCATTGATCTGTGTGTCTGTTTTTATGCCAATACCATGCTGTTTTGATTATGATGAACTTGTAGTATAGTTTGATATCAGGTATCATGGTATCTCCAGCTTTATTCTTCTTTCTCAAGATTGCTGTGGCTATTTGGGGTCTTTTCTAGTTCTATATACATTTTAGGGTTATTTGGCTTAGTTCTGTGAAAAATGCCTTTGGTATTTTGATACGGATTGCATTGAATCTATAGATTGCTTTGGGTAGTATGGACATTTTAACTATATTAATTATTCCTATCCATAAGTATGGTATATGCTTCCATTTATTTGTATCTTCTTTGATTTCTCTCTTCAATGTTTTGTAGTTTTCTGAGTTCATGTCTTTTACTTCCTTGGTTAAATTTATTCCTAGGTTTTGTTTTGTTTTTAATGCAATTGTTGATGGGATTGTTTTCTTAATTTCTCTTTCTGAGAGTTAGTTATTGATGCATAAAAATGCAACCACTTTCTGAATAATAATTTTGTAGCCTGCTACTTTACTAAATTCATTTATTAGTTCTAATACTTTTTGGTGACATCTTCAAGGTTCTCTCTTTACAGTATCATGTCATCTGCAAATAGTGACAGTTTTACTTCTTCCTTTCCAATTTAGATGCTTTTTATTTCTTTTTCTTGTCTGATTACTATGGCTAGGACTTCCAGTACTATGTTGAATAAAAGTGGTGAAATTGGACATCCTTGTCTTGTTCCTGATCTTAAGGAGAATGTTGTTAGCTTTTCCCCATTGAGTTTGATATTAGCTGTGGGTTTTTCATATGTATGGCCTTTATTATGTTGAGATTATGTTGCCTCTATTCCGACTTTGCTGAGAGTTTTTTTATCATAAATGGATGCTGAATGTCATCAAATGCTCTTTCTGCGTATATTCATATGATGATATGATTTTTATTTTTCATTTTGTTTATGTGGTGTATCATATTAATTGATTTGTGGCTGTTGAACCACCATTGCATACCAGGAATAAATCCCACTTGATCGTGGTGTATGATCTTTTTAATGTATTGCTGAATTCAGTTTGCTAATATTTTGTTGAGGATTTTTGCATCTATGTTCATCAGGGATATCGATTTATAGCTTTCTTTTTTGTAATATCTTTGTCTGTTTTTGGAATTAGGGCAATTGTGGCCTTATAGAATGAGGTTGGGAGCCTCCCTTGTGCTTGAATTTTTTGGAATAGTTTGAGAAGAATGGGTGTTAATTCTTTTCTGAATGTTTGGTAAAATTCACCTGTAAAACCATCTGATCCAGAACTTTTGTTTGTTGGGAGCTTGTTGATTACTGATTTGATATCATAAATAGTAATCAGTCTGTTTAGATTTTCTGTTTCTTCTTGATTCAGGCTTGGAAGATTGTATGCGTCTAGGAATTTATTCATTTCTTCCAGATTGTTTAATTTGTTGGCATATAATTGCATGTAGTATTTTCTTAATTTTTTTTTGTATCTCTGTGGTGTCTGTTGTCACTTCTTCTCTTT